TCTCTCTCTCTCTCTCTCTCTCTCTCTCTCTCTCTCTCTCTCTCTCTGCCTGTCTCTCTCTCCCCATGCTCCCCTTGTGTGTGTGCATGTGTGCCCAGATTTCCTTTTTTTTTTTGTTTGTTTTTGTTTTTGTTTTTTTGAGACAGGGGTTTCTCTGTGTAGCCCTGGCTGTCCTGGAACTCACTCTGTAGACCAGGCTGGCCTCGAACTCAGAAATCCGCCTGCCTCTGCCTCCCAAGTGCTGGGATTAAAGGCGTGCACCACCACCGCCTGGCAACTTATTCTATAAGAGCCTATATCAGACTTCGTTAGGCCCTCCCTAAATGAACTCATTATCTCTGTAAGATCCTGTGTCCTAATAAGGTCATGTCTGAGGAACTGAGGGTTAAGACAAGAATGTTGAAGGAACACCATGAAGCCAATGGCACTGCTAGCAGCCTCTTCCTACTCAGGAAGATGGGAGCAACCAGCCCTATACAGGCTCCATCACCTGTCCAAGAGGGATGCAAACTCCAGGTTGGGAGGACCTGTGAGAGGGAGGCCTGGCAGTGGTGTGGTGAAGTATGCTCTGGGCAGGGAAGGGAATGCCACTTTGATCTTCAGCTAACCTTTTTAGAGCCTTGATTGTCACAGGCAGAAGTGTCCCAGGAGAGAAAGCTTTGGTGAATTCTGCTGCTTACTTGCTGTGCACTCTTGGGCAAGTCTCTTGCCCTTTCTGAGCCCTCCTGTGCACGGAAAGAGGAAGAGAAGACATGGTGACTGAGTGTGCAGGAGAGCAGAAAGCTCAATACAGATCTAAGAGGAATGATGTCTCTTCCTTTGTACTATTTCCTCTGCCCAGAGCTGCCATCCTTGTCTGGAGTATCACACCTCTGCTTTCCTGGGTCACACCCTGTCCTTTCCCGTGGTCTGCTGTCACCGCTGAGGGCCCTTTGGTTGTCAAGTATCAAAGATTTTCCCAAAATCACAGGGCACAAGTGTCTTTCTTCCTCTACTTGAAACAGTCTTGGTGTCTCTGTCTGTGTGGAGCTGCTTTTATGTCTGCGCTGAGCAGACTGTCACCTACAAGACAGTGTTGGTGCCGGAGGGTGCTCTGCTTCTTTAAAAACACTGGCCGAGCATCAGACTGGATGTGCTGGGTTATGCTGCAGTAACACAAAGGTAGGTAGGTCCCAGAGGCTTCAAATAGCAATGGTTGGTTTCTTTTTCATGTCTTCTGTCTGCCTGGGCTCTCTGAGGGCCAGCTCCTTGCCAACATCAAACCTTGGCTGGTGGCGCATTCTCGTTGGAATGCTGTGAGATTCCAGGGCACGGAGAAGTGGGCTCCGGTTAGTCCAGAAGACGGGAATCCAAGGACATTTAATGAGCACCACTAAAGCCTCTCAGAATTCTATAGGATGCCTCAGTTTACCCAACAATATTGTTGCAGCGCCTGCTTCCTTAAAATAGCCTCTGTTGGCCGGGTGGTGGTGGCACACGCCTTTAATCCCAGCACTTGGGAGGCAGAGACAGGCAGATTTCTGAGTTTGAGGCCACCCTGGTCTACAGAGTCAGTTCCAGGACAGCCAGGGCTATACAGAGAAACCCTGTCTCGAAAAACAAAACAAAACAAAACAAAACAGCCTCTGCGTGCTCTGCCCCAAGGTGAGTGGCTTCACGTTGGCTCCTCAGCACCTCTGGAGGCCTTTTTTTTTCATACCTGCATACCTGAACCTCTGACAAGTTCCCTGGTGCTGCAGCTGCTGCTCCTGGGAGCCTCCTGTCGAGAACCCTGGGTGCTATTCTGAGAAGGGGTGAGGTCCCCATGCTCCTATACCTACACTGTCAGTGTGAGCCGTCTAGAGGCCCAGTAGGTGCCTCCCAGATGCCTCTCTTTAACAATCAGACCTTCTCCCAAAGAGCAGAACGGGGCAGGAACTGCAGGAGTGGCCCAGTTGGCTACTGTTGGTGGCCCAGTCCCCTGGTCTTCCATTTCTCCTGACTCAATTTTCTTTCAAGGTGGTGAGCTAGCTCTCCCAAACATCCAGGATGTGTCTTCTGAAACTCCTGGGGGCCTTGAGAACTTCCAGTCTGCCTCCTGCTTTGTGCTTTGCCTGACAATTCACAAGTGAGAGAACTAAGTAGAAACTCTGGGCAGGTCTGTGGCTAACTGCTGGCAGGGGCTGGCTGTCTACAGGGCTGAGATGCTAAGGGGAAGCTTAGGAGATGGGGTGAACAGAGGGTATGTGTGTTGGGGGGATGACTAAGATTGCAATCCAGTGAGCTTGAGACCTGGTGAGCTCGCTGTCCTATAACTGTGACCTGGGTCCTGTTGTTCCGTCACTGGGCCTTTGTTTATTCTTGGTGCTAGGAATTGAACCCAGTGTGTGCCGGGTAAGGGCTCTACCTCTGAGCAGCACCCCCATTGCAGGCATGCCGTGCAATCAGTTATCACTTATGTGTAACACACAATATTCTCAAAGCACCTCGCTTGTCAACCGATGTCTCATTCTCCTTCTCAGTTCTTCAGTCCCCTTTTTCCTGAAGGTTCTGAGTTCGAGGATGCAGGTGGCTCCACCACGCCCATTTGTGTGGTATGGGGGGTGGGGCCCAGGGTGAGAGGGCGACTAGGTCTTCCTGCATTCTTATCGAGCTCTCTACCAGTGTGATACCTCTTTAGACTTTCCCAAGGATCTTTTGTTTGTTTGTTTTATTGTTTTTCGAGACAGGGTTTCTCTGTGTAGCCCTGGCTATCCTGGAACTCACTCTATAGTCCAGGTTGGCCTCGAACTCAGAAATCCGCTTGCCTCTGCCTCCCAAGTGCTGGGATTAAAGGCA